GCGCTGGGGTAAATTGGTTGAACGATTCACTCGGTGGCGTGGTTCGTACGAGGATGTGGATTACACAGTTCCAGCAGCCACAGTGAAGTTGCGCGGTTCACGAAGCACGTACTGGCGACCTTGGCGGTGGATATCGCCATATAGGCTGATTGCAATCCCGTCTCGAAAAGCGCGCAGTACTTCGTCGCGGTCGTTTATGTCAAACTGAACATGCAACGCCACCGGTCTGTCGTCCAGCTGGTATAGGACCACCGCTTGACCGTCGAACTCTTCTTGAGATTGTCGGTCAAGTCGCACTATTTCACCCGTTCACGTGGGCGTCTGGGAAGGGGCTGTTCTGCCGGAGCAGGGTAGCCCCCTCAGTGAGGACATCGGCGGCACTCTCTGTGAACACGAACTCGCTGTTTGGTGCTTCAGCAGCGCGTACCCCCGCCCAAGATAGACTCACTCCGACCCCATGTCCCCGGTAGGCTAAAGCGGCTACCGCTTCGCACAAATTGGCGCTGGCGGTTTGAGGCGTCGATTCCCCAAAGGCGTCAGCAATGCCCTCCCCACCCACTACGGATTCTGCCTTCCTGACAGCCTCATGCAACCCGGCGTTCAAAGCGATGGTGACGCGACGGGGAAAAGGCGCCCGAACAGGATCGCCCATATCCAACTGTACACCGTAACCAGCTGGCACGTGAGAATGAAGGGTCAACTCGGGTCCGGTTTCGTATCCGGGCAACGGTCTTACTCCACGCACATAATCGGCAACTTCCCCACTAGGTCGCCCACGGTAGGCCAGCTGGCCAGGACGTTCGGCAGCGCGAGCCGCCGCTAATATCAGGTCACGAGCCCTAGTCAGAAAGTCCACGCTTTCGCCAAGTGTCCAGCCGCTTTCACCTACGCCGTTCAGCGACCGCAGCCGGATCACATCGGCCCCGGCACCAATGACGTCGTAATAAATGTTCAACTGCGAGCGCCCCTCAATTTCCGAGAGCAATGCGATTGCTTCGGAAATCCGAACGGCGTAGGCGTCAGTCTGTTCACGCAACGGCGCCAGGATCTCTTTGACTTGTTCGTTTTGCGTGATCGACCACACCATAATCCGATTGCGCCAAGTTTCATCTTGGACCCATCCGCGGGCTTCCAAGTAAGCCCGCAATATAGTCGGCGATACTCGACGTAACGCTTCGGAGTCCCTGATTTGCACGTCCATTGTCGGCCTCCGTGAATCAGAGCAGTTGGCGGAACATATTCCGCAATCCGTCTTGGTCAAACACGTTGGCTACCGGTACATAAACCCGCACGGTCGATGAGTTTGGCGAGCGGGTCATCCCCATCAGCGAGACCCAATAAGCGCACTTCCGCAAGCACAACTCTTCGTCACTTTGGCTCAACCATTCACTATCATCGTGAGGCATGACGAATAAAATCAAAATTCTGGGTACGTCGTCTTCAACGATCAACTGGTTGAAATTTTGAATCCGCAGGTCATATCCCAGGACGGTTTCTGTTTCTTCGTACGACGTCGTGGCCTTTAACTGGAAATCGACACGGTTCACTCCACGACGATCCGGGTCGACAATGGTACCGTCAATGCCGTGGTCATCGACTGTTGGGGTGTATAGGCGGAAACCACCACTGAACGTTACCGTTCTCACGTAGGCCAGAGAAAGCTGTTCTTGGATGAAATTGGGTGACACTGTGGGTGGCCCCCAAGGCGGGCTAAAGCGATTGCGAAGGGTTGCCCCAGTATATCAAACAGTATGTCCGTTCTGACAGGTGTCACGTCGTGGATTAGCTTGTATGCTATGATATGCGCTCCGATCGGGGTTGTCCCCGCCATACGTTCCGCAGGAGTTCCGATTACGATGACCACCCCGACGGTTTCCGTCCAGCTCGAGACCCGCGATACCATTGGAAAGAAGGTCAAGGCGCTGCGCCGCGGAGGCATTGTGCCCGTTCACCTCTATGGCCGCGGCGTCGAATCCCGCTCCCTGCAGTGCCAGGCCCGCACCCTGTTGCTGGCGATCAGCCGCGCCGGCGGGGAGTACGGCGAGCCGTTGCGCGTGACCATCGCCGGCGAATCGGGCGAGTACACCGCCGTTGCGTCGGAGATACAGTGGCAGCCTCGCACCGGCGACGTTCTCCACGTCGACTTCCGGACGGTCGCTCAATAGCCGCTCCTGACCCGCGATGCTGACCACTGCCGGCATCGCCGCCAACCCCAGCCAGGGCCGACAGGTCCCGCCGCGCCAGCCTGGGAGGCTACCATGTACCTGGTTTTCCTCAGTGAATCCGGCCAGACCGGCCTCAGCGCCGACGACCCCAGCCAGCCGCACCATGTCCACGCCGGACTGCTGGTACAGGAGAGCCAGTACATCTCCATGACCGGGGAGTATGACGCCCTGGTTCGCCGCCATTTCGGCGCCCCGGCCGGGTCCGACGGCGTGCCCAACGAGCTGCGCCCCGGCGACCTGTACCAGGGCACTGGCTACTTCCGCTCGTGGCGGCCGGACCGGCGCGCCGAGCTCATCCAGGACTGCCTGAGCATCCTGATCCGCCGCGAGATCCCACTGCTGGTGTCGTCCATTGACAAGGCCAAGTTCCTGACCGCCAGCAAAACAGAAGGAAACTCGATCTACGGCAATACGGACCCGTCGCGGTTGGCATTCAGCCGTTTCCTGTTGGCGCTGGCCATGTTCCTGGATGAGAACGTCATGTCCCAGATGAACCCCGACGATATTATGCAGTCGTCGTGGAGCGTCAACGATTACGCGATGCTGATGGCGGGGGCGGAGTCCCAGTCCATTTCCCTGGCGCTGACCGATTTTCTGAGCGAAGAGAACGATTCGGTCAACCCGTCGATGTATGACGACCTGATGATAGCCCCGGCCGCGACCAGCGTCGGCGGGCAACTGGCGTCGCTGTGCGTATATGTCATCCGCCGCTGGCTCCAGCAGCCCGACGCTACCCACGGGACTTCGACGCCCTGCGCGACGGGCGGGTTCTGCAGGTAGTTTACCCCTACCAGTTCGATTAGATTGACGGCCCGCAAGCAGCGGATTTGCGGCAAACAGGGTCCCGGTTCGCGCACGCGGTGAGCACAAGCAATAGCTGGCTGACTGCGCCCGCCCGGCATCCTTGCTATACCGGCATCCCTGCTATACTCGCAGGGTGTACTTTCTTTCGCCACAATAAGGCAAGCGTGAGGGATACGCATGGTTTCGTTTCTGAAAAAAATGGTCGGCGACACGCCGGAGCGGGCCGCCGAAAAACTGCGCGGCCAACTGGTGCCGCAGGTCAACCGCCTGGAGGACTCCATACGGAGTCTGACCGATGAGGCGCTGGGCGCGAAGACCGACGAGTTCCGACGACGGGTGGACGACGGCGCGTCGCTGGACGATCTGCTCCCGGAGGCCTTTGCGGTGGTGCGTGAGGCCGCGCGCCGCACGCTGGGTCAGCGGCACTACGACGTGCAGCTGATTGGCGGCGCCGTCTTGCACCAGGGAAAGATCGCGGAGATGAAAACGGGGGAGGGCAAGACCCTGTCGCCACCCTGCCGGCATTTCTGAACGCGGTCACCGGCGACGGGGTCCACATCGTCACCGTCAACGACTACCTGGCCCGGCGTGACCCGATTTGGATGGGGCCCATCTACCACCTGCTCGGCCTCACCGTGGGTTGCCTGCAGCACGATGCGGCATTCCTCTACGACCCCGAGCTGACCGACGTGGGCCGCGGCGGCTACCAATACCTGGTTCCGGTGTCCCGCGCAGAGGCGTACCGGGCTGACATCCTCTACGGCACCAACAACGAGTTTGGCTTCGACTACCTGCGCGACAACATGGCGGTGAACGCCGAACTCCAGGTGCAGACCCGTGCCGCCGACCGGCCGGCGCATCACTTCGCCATCGTTGACGAGGTGGACAACATCCTGATCGACGAGGCTCGTACTCCGCTGATTATCAGCGGTCCCGCCCAGCAGCCGGTGGAGCACTATTCCAACTGCGCCCGGCTGGCGCCCCGCCTGCGGGAGTACGAAGACTACACCGTGGATGAGCGCACCCAGGCCATCTCACTCACCGAGGACGGCATCGGCAGGGCCGAGAGGCACATGCGGGTCGATAACCTCTACGATCCCCGAGAACTTCCACCTCGTCCAGTACGTGGAGAACGCGGTGGTAGCCCAGGTGCAGAAGGTCAAGGACAAGGACTACGTGATCAGCGACGGCGAGGTGGTCATCGTTGACGAGTTCACCGGCCGGCTGCAATACGGCCGGCGCTGGTCCGACGGGCTCCACCAGGCGGTCGAGGCAAAGGAGGGCGTGAAGGTCCAGCGCGAAAGCGTGACCTACGCGACCATCACGCTGCAGAACTACTTCCGGATGTACCACAAGCTGTCCGGCATGACCGGTACCGCCGTCACCGAGGCCGACGAGTTCTACAAGATCTACGGCCTCGAGGTGGTTGCGGTTCCTACGAACGTTCCCATGGTGCGGGACGATTCCAGCGATTCTGATCTTCCCCACTGCGGAAGGCAAGTGGCAGGCGGTGATAGACAACATCGTCCAACGGTCGGATCGGGCCAACCGGTGCTGGTCGGCAACGAGTCCTCCATCGAGACTCGGAATCCCTCAGCGATCGCCTGCGCCGTTGGGGGCGTGCGGCACAAGGTGCTCAACGCCCGCAACCACGAGCAGGAGCGACCATCGTCTCCCAGGCCGGTCGCGCCGGCACGGTCACCGTGTCTACCAACATGGCCGGGCCGGGGCACCGACATTGTGCTGGGCGGCGCGGACACCGACCGTCAGGACTGGCAGGAGGAGCACAACCGCGTCATCACGCTGGGGGGCCTCCACGTCATCGGCACCGAGCACCACGAGGCTCGGCGCGTCGACAACCAGCTACGGGGGTCGCGCCGGGCGCCAGGGCGATCCCGGCAGCAGCCAGTTTTTCGTCGCCTTGAGGACGAGTTGATGCAGCGCTTCGGCGGTGACCGCATCAAGAACGTGATGAACTGGACCGGCCTCAACGACGACGAGCCGCTGGAGAACAAGCTCATCACCAAGTCCATCTCCAGCGCGCAGGTCAAGGTCGAGGGCCATCACTCGACATGCGGAAGCACCTGCTCAACTTCGACGACGTGCTCAACCAGCAACGCTCCGTGATCTACGAGCAGCGCTCCCGCATCCTGGCCAGCCTGGGCCTCCGCGAGCGCATCCTGGACATGCTGGGCGCGGAGTTTGACCGGCTGGTTTCCGCCCACCTGCAGGCCCGGCACGCCGATGACTGGGACGCGGACGGGTTCGTGGGCGCGCTGCGGCAAATCTGCCCGCCGCCGGATGAGCTGGACACGCCGGAGAAGGTTCTGGCGCTGCGCCGAGATCATATCGAGGAAATCCTCGACGGGTACGCGGAAACCCTCTACGAGGCCAAGGAGCGCACCCTGGGTCCCGAGGACATGGAGACCCTGGTACGGCTGCTGCTGCTCAAGTCCATCGATACCCACTGGGTCAATCACCTGACCCACATGGAAAACCTGCGCACGGGCGTGGGGCTCCAGGCCGTGGGGCAACGGGACCCGTTGACGGTCTATCGCTCCGAGGGGCAGCGCGCCTTCACGGAGTTGACCCGCCAGATGCAGCGAGAGGTTACCCACACGCTCTTCCACGTCACGTTGGCTCCGGAAGCGCCGACGACCCGGGCTCAGGCCAACGGCAGCGCCCGCGCGCCGGTGAGCCCCATGGCCGCCGTATCGCCGGGCCGGTCGACTCCCGCACCGCGCGCCGGCCGCAAGATCGGCAGGAACTCCCAGTGTCCCTGCGGCAGCGGCAAGAAATTCAAGCGATGTTGCGGTGCGGCTGCCTGATGGTCGTTGGCGCCGGCTAGAATAACTGAGAGGGCGGGATCGGAACCCGCCCTTTTTGGTGTCTTGCCGGTGCGGATGGCTAGTCGCCGCGACGGAACAGCCGGCGCACGAACGTAACGGGCTGCGGTTTGGGTTCCTCCATTGCGACGGGCTTGTTGCGACCCGTTGCCCAGCCTTCGGGGTCTTTCTCGAAGGCGATGCGGCAGCCCGGGGCGCAGAAGTAGTAGGTCTGGCCCTGGTGTTCGCCGGTTCCTCCGTTGGGGTTTTCAGTATCCACCTGCATCAGGCAGATCGGATCGGTTGCGGTTGCCATGGCGCGTCTCCGGAGGCGTGTGCTGTCTGTGCGGCCGATTGTACCAGCGGTGGCCCCACGGGCGCACCAGGCCGTGGTCGCCGGGAAGTTACCCCAGGTTGGCCCGTCGCAGTCGCAGAGAGTTGCTGACCACGCTAACCGAGCTGAACGCCATCGCCAGCGCGGCCAGGATGGGGTTCAGGAAGCCGGCCTCGCCGAAGAAGAACGTCAGGCCTCCCGGCACTCCCCCCACCGCGGCGAACACCGGGTACAGCGCCCCGGCCGCCACCGGGATCAGGAGCGTGTTGTAGAAGAAGGCCCAGAACAGGTTTTGCCGGATGGTGCGCATGGTTGATCGAGACAGCCGCAGAGCGGTGGCGACGCCGGCGAGGTCGTCCCGCATCAGGGTGACGTCCGCCGTTTCGCGGGCGATGTCGGTTCCACCGCCCATGGCAATCCCGACGTTGGCGCGAGCCAGCGCCGGCGCGTCGTTGATGCCGTCGCCGACCATCGCCACGGTGTGTCCCTGGGCCTGCATCCCGGCGATGACTTCCGCCTTGTCGGCCGGCAGCATCCCGGCCTGGTACTCGCCGACGCCGCAGGCGGATGCTACCGTCGCGGCCACCTCCGGACGGTCTCCTGAGAGCATCGCCGTCCGCACTCCCATCCCATGCAGGGCCGCCACCGCATCAGCCGCGCCCGGCTTCACCGCGTCGGCGACGGCGATGACGCCGAGGACGTGACTCCCTGGGCGACGAACATCGGCGTGGCGCCACGTTCGGCGAACGACGTTGCTGCTGCGGCAAGGTCGTCGGGCGGCGGCGCGCCGACCTGTTCCATCAGCGCGGCGTTGCCGACCGCCACCTCGCGTTCGGCGACCATGGCGGTCACTCCCGCGCCGGCGCGGGCAACGAAATCCGTGGACGGCGTGAGCGACAGATCCTCGTCATGCGCCCGGCGCAGAACGGCCCGGCCGATGGGGTGCTCCGACAGCGTTTCCACCGACGCCGCGCAACGCAGCAGGTCGGCAGGGAGGACGCCCGGGGCGGACACGACGTCCGTGACTTCCGGTTGCCCCGTGGTGAGCGTGCCGGTTTTGTCCAGGACAACCACGTCCACGCGATGGGCGGTTTCCAGGGCGGCCGCGCTCCGGACCAGGATGCCGCGCTCCGCGCTTCTGCCCACGCCGACGATGATCGCGGTGGGCGTCGCCAGCCCGAGCGCGCACGGGCACGCGATGATGAACACCGCAACCAGGGTTAGCATCGCGTACCGCACCGACGGGTCGGGCCCGAGGAACAGCCACAAAATATCGCCGCCGCCAGCGCGATCAGTCCCACCGCCGGCACAAACCAGGCCGCGACCCGGTCGGCCAAACGCTGCACCGGGGCCGCCGAGCCCTGGGCCTCTTCCACCAGGCGGATCACCTGCGACAGCGTCGTGTCCAGGCCGACGCGGGTCGCGCGCATAAGGATCGCCCCGTTTCCGTTCAGGGTACCGGCGAACACGGGATCGCCGGCGGATTTCTCGGCCGGCATGCTTTCACCGGTCAGGGCCGACTGATCGACGTTGGTGGCGCCGCTGGCGACCTCACCGTCGACCGGTAGCTGCTCGCCGGGACGCACGGCCAGGGTGTCGCCCGGCTCGACGTGGTCAACCGGCACGTCGGATATGGAGCCGTCCGCCGCCATCAGGTGCGCCGTTTGCGGCCGCAGATCCAACAGCCGCTCGATAGCGCCCGAAGTGCGGGACAGGGCGCGGGCCTCCAGCCAACGCCCCAACAGGATCAGCGCGACGATAATGGCCGCCATATCGAAGTGCAACTGATGCGCTCCCGTAGAACCCAGTGCGCCCGGGGCGAGCAGCGTCGTCAGCACCACCACGACGCTGTACCCGTATGCCACCGATGTCCCCAGGGCGATCAGCGTGTGCATGTTGGGTTGCCCGCCGCCGAAGTCCGGCCCACCCCGCGGTGTAGAACGACCAGCCGGCCCAGAGCTGCACCGGGGTTGCCGCCGCCCAAAGCAACAGCGGATACCACCACAGGGTCAGCAACCCGGGCGTCCAGGGCAGCGCCGGGAAACTGCCGAGCAGCAGCGCGCCGCCACCCAGCGCCGCCACGATCAAGCGGATCCTGAGGCGTTGTTCTTCCTGCGCCCGAGGCCCGGCGCCCCGATCACCGTCGGCTGTCTGCGGGTTGGTGTCGAGGCGGTAGCCGGCGTCGGCTACGGCTTTGGCCAGCGTCTCCATATCCGGGGCGCCGGCGACATCAGCGTCACCCAGGCTGATGGTGGCGCGCTCGGTGGCGAGGTTGACGCTGACCTCGGTCACGCCGTCCACGGAACGCAACGCCTCGCCCACGTGGTACACGCAGGCGGCGCACGTCATGCCGGCGACGGGGAGGACGAGGGTGTTTGGCGATGATTGGGGCATGGTTTCGGGTCGTCGGTATGCGAAAGAGTCGCATGTGCGATACGGTCTTCATTGTAGCAGCGGGAAGTTTCCAGGGCGAAGGCACATACCGTGGCCCGCCAGCTGCGGCCACCCTTGTCGCCGAGGCCATCGACGTGATCGAGTACCGGGGGTATCGGCCAAGCTGGGCGAGATGGCCCTGCAGCCCAGCGAGGCCGACCTGGCCAACCCAGAGTTTCGCCCTTATCTCGACCGGTACATGCCAGGCAGAGGCGTCGGCATGACGCCGGCAATCCCGCTACAATAGGCGCACTCAACACGAATATGTGCGAGGTGCGCTTTTATGGTTCAGCAGGGACAGATTGACCATCTCTTGCAGGAGTCCGGGGAGATCCCGCCTCCGCCCCACGTCGTCGAGCAGGCAACCATGTCCGACTACGACGGCGTGTACGCCCGGTCCATCGCAGACCCCGAGGGGTTCTGGGCCGAGGCCGCCGAGGAATTGCACTGGTTCCGCAAGTGGGATGACGTCTTCCAGTGGGACTACCCCAACTTCCGCTGGTTCGTGGGCGGGCAGACCAACATCGCGTACAACGCGCTGGATCGCCACCTCAACACCGAGCGGCGCAACAAGGCGGCCCTGATCTGGCTGGGCGAGGACGGCACCGAGCAGGTCTATACCTACGCCCGCCTGGCGCAGCAGGTCAACCGCTTCGCCAACGGGCTGAAGTCCCTGGGCGTCGGCAAGGGCGACCGCGTCGTCATCTACATGCCGCTGACGCCGGAGGGCGCGATCAGCATGCTGGCCTGCGCCCGCATCGGCGCCATCCACAGCGTCGTCTACGCCGGCTTCAGCGTGGGCTCCTTGCGCGACCGCATCCAGGACGCCGATGCCAAGGCGCTGATCACCGGCGACTACGGCTACCGCCGGGGCAACCGCGTCGACCTCAAGGGCATCGCCGACGAGGCTGTAGTCGGCTGCGACCGCCTGGAGCACGTCATCGTGTTCCGCCGCGAGCTGGCCCGCGAGGACCTGCGCGACGGCGAGACCGACTTCGACGAGCTGATGGCCAACAACTCCATCGACTGTCCCGCCGAGGTGATGGACGCCGAGGACCCGCTTTACATCCTCTACACCAGCGGCACCACCGGGACGCCCAAGGGCGTGGTCCACGTCCACGGCGGGTACATGGTCGGCACCCACTACCACTTCAAGAACTTCTGGGACGTCAAGGACAAGGACGTCTTCTGGTGCATGTCCGACATCGGCTGGGTCGTCGGCCATAGCTACATCGTCTACGCGCCGCTGGTCGCCGGCGCCACCACCGTGTTCCGCGAGGGCGCGCCCGACTTCCCCCACAACGCCATCTTCTACGAGGTGATCGAGAAATACGGGGTCAACGTCATCTTCACTGCGCCCACGGCCGTCCGTATGCTGATGCGCTATGGCGAGGAGCCGGCCAGCCGCTACAACCTGCGCTCCCTGCGCTTCCTGACCTGCGCCGGCGAGCCGCTGAACCCCGAAGCCTTGCGCTGGGCCTACGAGCACATCTGCGGCAGCGGCGAGTGGGGCACACATGGTCGACAACTGGTGGCAGACCGAGACCGGCGGCCCCTGCCTGGGCACCACCGCCACCATGACCACCCGCCCCGGTCGCGTCGGCAAACCCCTGCCCGGCGCGGTGATGGACATCGTGGACCGGGAGGGGGAGCCCATCGAGGAGCCGGACAAGGGCGGGTTCCTGGTGATCCGTCGGCCGTTCCCGCACTTCTCTCGCACGGTGTGGGGCAACCCTGATCGCTTCGCTGACACCTGGAACCAGATCCCCGGCGTGTACTCCTCGGGCGACGTGGCCCTGCGCGACGCCGACGGCTACTACATGGTGGTGGGCCGCGCCGACGACGTGCTGAACGTGGCGGGCCATCGCATCGGCTCCGCCGAGGTGGAGTCCGCCCTGGTGTCGCATCCGGAAGTGGCGGAGGCGGCGGTCATCGGCAAGCCCGACGAGCTGCGCGGCGAGGTCATCAAGGGCTTCGTCACCCTGCGCATGGGCAGCGAAGGCTCCGACCGCATGGTCAATGACCTCCAACTCCACGTGCGCCGCGAGCTGGGCCCCATCGCCGTTCCCTCGGAGATCGAGTTCACGCCCACGCTGCCCAAGACCCGCTCCGGCAAGATCATGCGCCGCCTGCTGAAGGCGCAGGAGCTGGGGCTGGATCCGGGGGACATAACGACGCTGGAGGATTAGAGGGGTGTGGTTCGACAGGACGTTTCAGGGCCGACCTTTGGGATGGGGAAACCGTGCTTTTAGATGAATGGGAGAGAGTTCGTGAGGCGCGCCCGGCGCTACGCGCGGGCCAATGGGATGGAATGGCAATACGATCCGGCGCGGGGGAAAGGCAGCCACGGAACGTTGTACATCGGCGACCGGAAAACCATCGTGCAACACGGAGAAATCTCGCCAGGGTTATTATTGGATATGCTCAGAGACCTGAACATTGACCGGCGGAGGTTCTGAACGATGCAGTACAACTTTCCGTGCAACATTGTGCCCGATACTACCGAAGGCGGATGGGGTTACCTCGTCTCTTTTTCCGACATACCATTCGCCCATACCGGCGGCAAAACCTTCAAGGAATCAATCATCCTCGCTGAGGATTGCCTGGTGGTGGCCCTGAGCTGCTACGTGGACCTGGGCAAAGAGCTGCCCACACCCAGCTCTTTCCAGGACGGGCAGGAGTTGCTGACGGTGCAGCCCGTTATCGCTGCCCAGCTGGACCTGTACACCGCCATGCGCGAGCAGAAGGTCACCCAGGCGGACTTGGCGCAACGGTTGGCTATCAGCGAGAAGGACGTCAGCGGCTTGTTGAGCCTGGACTACTGCACCCCGATCGGTCAGGTCGCCGAAGCGCTGCGCGCCGTGGGTTGTGACCTGTCTACCGCCGGTGCGGCCGCCTGACCATTGGATCCAATGGAAGGATTGTGATGCTCGACGAGCTGGTTGACGTCATAGAAACTCTGCAACGCCGAATCCGAGATCACGGCCCAAACCTGCGCGAGAACGAAACACGCACGCGCATGGCGCTGATCGACCCGTTGTTGCGGGTACTGGGTTGGGAAGTCTCCGACCCCTCGGTAGTGACGCCGGAGTACAACATTGGGAACGGTAGGGCCGACTACGCCCTGTTGGATGGGAACGGCCGGCCGGCTGCATTGATCGAAGCCAAGCATTTTTCTGAACCGTTAGAGCGGGCGAATCATCAAGAGCAAGTCTTTACTTACGCATTGATGCAGCAAGTCAGGTATGCAGGCTTGACCGATGGTGATCGGTGGATACTCGACGACGTGTCCGTTTTTTCGGGTGACCGGCGCATACTGGACTTGTCGATCTCCAACACCCCGTCCCATGAGTGTGCGCTTAAACTGCTGCTCCTCTGGCGGCCCAACCTAGCTTCGGGACGGCCAGTGCCCGCACCAGAGCCCGTTGTATCGGTCATAGAGGCCGCGGTTCCAATGCCATTGGAAATGCCCCCATCAACATCGGTTCGCACTACTGCTTCGGCACCTGCAGGCGATTGGTGCGCCTTGTTACATTTGACGGCGAACCCTGGCGACCCTAGCCCGGAAATAATTAGATTTCCCGATGGGGAAGAACATCCACTAAGTAGTTGGAATCAATTGGTTCGACACACGGTTAGTTGGCTCTGGTCCCGCGAGCGGCTTACGGAGCGCGACGTTCCGATTGAGTCCAGTAAGAAGCGTTATATCGTCAGCGCCGAGCCGGTTCATCCTTCCGGTAACCCATTCTCCCAACGGGTGATCGTCGCTGATACCCCGTTCGTGTACGAAGGAAATATCAGCGCACGAGCAGCTGTGAGCAACGCAAAGAAACTGTTGTCCCGTTGCGGCGTGGACCCCTCCGAGGTCCTCTTGCGCGTGGGCTGACGCTTTTTGATGGAGTCAGAGGTTCGCTGCGGCTGCTGCACTGGATTTTCGCTACGCTGAAGCTCCCCAAGGAGTACCAAAATAGCCACCCCACTGGAACCGGAAATGGAAGCCCGCATCGCTGAATTGGCCATGCGGCTGGGCTTTGCCGGGCCGGACGCGGTGGAGCGGGTGATTGTTGCCGCGCTGGACTATCTGGACGAAAGCACAGAGTCGCGCAAGCGATGGTACTCTGATGCAGAGATGCGGGCCATGCGCGAATGCTGCCGAGCCACGTACGTCGCCGGGCTAATCAATTCAAACCCTGAGCGCAAGTCTATTTCCCAATTGTTGCAAGACGACCTCTACGACGAATCCGGATTGCCAAAGTAGCCGGCTGAGCCCTGATGTCTTCCGTGACAAGAGTAAACATTGAAACTCGCATCGCGCTGCTCGCGGAACGGCTGAGCTTTAGTGGTCCCAACGCCGCTGAGCAGGTGTTGGGCATGGCGCTCGATTATCTCGATGACAGCACTGCCGAGCCCAAGCGCCTGTACACCCGTGAACGCAGGGATGCCAGCGAGCAGGACAACGCCGCGGCGATGGATAAGCTAGGTTACTTGGACCATGCCGCTGGTCGTCCCAAAGGCATACCGCCGTGATGGTTGCCGATACGTCTGCACTGATGGCGTTGGCAACCGAAGAACCAGATCACGTCGAAATCCGCAAGGCAATTGACATCGATGGCGCAGTTTTAATTTCCGCGCAACATTTTTGGAACTGTCTATCGTTGCTATGGGACGGGGCACGGCGGTTAGACGACGCGTTCACGAACTGACTCGCCGAATTGCCGATCACTGTCGTTCCATTCGATGCTGAGCAGGCCGAACTAGCGGCTAGTGCATACGAGCGCTACGGCAAAGGCCGCGGTCATCCGGCGCAGCTCAACTTCGGAGACACTTTCGCATATGCCCTCGCCTCCGTGTGGGGCTTCCCCTCTTGTACAAGGGCGAGGATTTCTCGCATACGGATATCGTGGCGGCGGTGTAAAGCGGCGGGGTGGTACACTGATTCGCGGCGACGGTACGGTATGTCAATCGCGATAAACCGCAACTTGGAGAATCAAGCAATATGTACTCGAAAGTAATCGTTCCGCTGGACGGATCGGACCTGGCGGAACAGGCGCTGCCCTACGCGGAGTTGGTGGCCAGTTCGCTGTCGGTGCCGTTGGAGCTGGTGCAGGCGTATGACGTGCTGCCGAGCAACGTGCTGGGCTCGCGCTCTCCGCGGATCGCCGACCAACTGCAGATGGGCGCCAGGGAACGGGCGGAAGCCTCGTTGGCGCCGGCGAGACAGCGCTTGGAAGCCGCCGGGTTCGCCGTCAACATCGCGACCCAACGCGGACAGCCCGCTGACGTTATCGTCGCCCAGGCCGGCACCGATCCGGGCGCGCTGGTCGTGATGTGCACCCACGGCCGCGGCGGCATCTCCCGCTGGGTCATGGGCAGCGTAACCGACAAGGTGCTGCACATCGTCCCGAACCCCATGCTGATCGTGCGGGCCACCGTCACCGGCCCCGCGTCGCCGGGAACATCGTTGAAGAACGTCGTGGTGCCGCTGGACGGTTCGGCGTTGTCAGAACTGGCAATATCCCACGCGCTGAGCATGGCAGCGGCGCTGTCGGCCAGGATAACCGCCCTGCAGATCACGCCGACAGCCGACTACTATCGCCGACAGTTGGTGGTGGTAACGCCGGAGATGGGCGCACTTCCCGACTTCGACCCGGGCTCGCCGGAGGAAATGGCCGGCGAAGATGCAGAAGGCGTGGCCTCCTACCTTGAGGACGTGACCAACCGCATGGCCATCGACCACGCCCACGGGGTCGACACGGCCCACGTGGTTGACGACAACATCGCCCAGAGCATCATCGACCGGGCCGCCGCGCAGCCGTCCCTGGTGGTGATGACCACCCACGGCCGGAGCGGAGTGGGCCGCATGGTGCTGGGCAGCGTCACCGACCGGGTCATTCGCCACTCCAACACGCCGGTGCTGGTGATCCGCTAGTCCAGGCAGCATCCCGTATCGGCGAGGCCCGCAAATGCGGGCCTCTTTTTATTTTGCCCGTCGCACTGCCCATTGCGCGGTCAGCGGCTCCGTGGTACGATATTTATAACGACGATAAAGATTATACGAATTAAGAATGTGCAGCGTTTCACAAATAACGGAAAAAGCGCTACGGCTACGTAGCAAACAAGGAGGCAAGACCATGACCCTGTGCAACAACATAATCGTTCCCCTGGACGGGTCGAAATTGTCGGCTCAGGCGCTTCCGGCAGCCCGGCTGATGGCCAACGCGACCCATGCGCCGATAACGCTGGCGCGGTCTTTCGGGTCCCTACCGGACTGGTATGCCGACGCCGACCACGGCCGTTTCAGCGCGGCGATGGCCGCCGGCGAGCATGACCGTACCGTGGCCGATCTGTCGTGCATCAGCGGCGCATGCAGGATTGGGGCGTGCAGACCCCGGTTTTCGTCGAAGCCCACCAAATGCCGGCCCACGAGGCAATCATAGACATGGCCAATCGCGACCCGAACGCGCTGATCGTCATGTCAACGCACGGTCGCAGCGGTTTTTCCCGCATGCTGACCGGCAGCGTGACGGCCAAGGTGGTGAACGCGGTCCGGAACCCGACGCTGATCGTGCGCTTGCAACAAGACCGACTGCCCGGTGGTGCCGCAGTTCTTCGAGAACATCATCGTCCCGCTGGGACGGGACCGGGTTTGCCGAGCATGCCCTGGACTATGCTGGCGAACTGGCCACCACCTTTGGCACGCGGATCACCCTGTTCCGTTCCACGCCGGGCGCGGACTATTTCCGTACAAATTCCGACTGGGGACATTTCGGCGGGCCGGGGTTCGCTTACAACGACCCGGGAGAGATGGCCAAAGATCTGGCCCATGCCTCGGAAGAGTACCTGTGGCAAAAGGCGGATGCGTTGCGCGCCCGGTTCCCGCTGTTCGACGTGGACGTGGTGAACTCGCGTGGAAAACCCCGCATCACGGCATTGTCCAACTGGCGAGCAAGCTGGACAACGGGCTGGTGGTGATGGCGACCAAGGGTCGTCGCGCCGTGGGGCGGGCGCTGTTCGGCAGCGTGGGTGACCACGTGGTGCGGCATTCGCCGACTCCCACCCTGCTGGTTCGGGGGCCACTGCACGCTGCGGGCGGAGCATTCGCCCGCAAGGCCCACGCCGAGGATCGCGAGTTGGCCGCGGTGTAACCTCCGCACCGCCAATGCGCACATAGCGCGAGCCACACGCTGGCGCCAACCGCGAGGGGCGGGCAAGCTTGCCCGCCCCCGTTCTTTAATCGTGTTCGCCGGCGCGCGCCGGCGACCGCGTCGGGTCAGTTTCCTACCATTTCTGGATCACGGGCAGGACTTCCTTGCCGAACAGGCCGATGTTCTTCATGGTGGCTTCATGCCCCATTCGGGATTCCTGCCCGTAGAACACCAGGTGTTCCATCCCAAGGCGCTGGTGCAGGAACTCCAGCTTCTCCAACACCGTGTCCGGAGTGCCGCACACGATGTGGTAGTTCTCCTTGAGCTCCTCGAAGGTCTGCACGTTCAGGGGCTTGAGTCCGGTGCGACGGGCGGCGATGGCCGAGCCGGCGGCGGAGCGGTAGCCCACCGGCGCCATGTACTCCCGGGGGCCGCGCAGGGTGGGCCCCATGCGCCAGATGAAGTGCCTGGCCTGCTCGTCGGCCTCCTCCTGGGTATCGCCGACGTAGCAGCAGAGCAGGTAGCCGAAATTGTCCGGCACCGCCTCGCGACCGGCCGCGTTGGCCGCCTGCGTGTACATGCCGAACAGCTCCTCGGTGACGTCCAGGTCGGTCAGGAACGCCACGTAGGTATATCCGTGGCGGCCCGACCACTCGGCGGTCTCCGGTGACGACGTGCCCGGCACCCAGATGGGCGGATGCGGCTTCTGGATGGGGACCATCCACGGATTGACCACCCGGAAGTTGTAGTGCTTGCCCTCCCAGCGGAAGGGGCCAGGGCGTCGTCCAGGTCTTGATCACCAGGTCGTGACACTCCTCGAAGCGTTCCCGATTTTCCACCGGATTGTTGTTGGTGGAGACGGTCTCCACCCCGGTGCCGCGGACGAAACCCGAGATCAGCCGTCCGCCCGATATGACGTCGATCATCGCCAGCTCTTCCGCCAGCCGGATCGGGTTGTCGTGGATGGGCAGGATATTGCCCAGCAACAGGATCTTGGCCTGGTGGGTGATGCGAGCCAATACTGCCGCCGACAGGTTGGTGGCGGCGTTCATGCACGAAGGCGTGTTGTGGTGCTCATTGAGCATGATGCCGTCGAAGCCCAGCTCGTCGGCGTACACGCACTCGTCGAAATAGCGCTTGAAGAGGCCGTTGGCCGTGTTGGGGTTGAACCACGTGTTGGGGAAGGTGAGGCGCAGCGAAGGGTACTTGTCGCCCTCTTCGTCGGGGTACTCGTGGTAGGGGAACTCGGAGAAGTAGTAGCTCTTCACGGGACAGTGGCCTCCGGTGGCGTGGCTGATAACTTGCCGATTATACCAGCCGTACAGCTCGCCTCCCGGACCCTCCTCAATGGCGAACAGGCGCGCGCGGCCCTACCGGAACCGTACCCGTCGTTACCCCCGGGTATCGGCGCTCCCGCCGCATGCTCCTGGTGAGAACTCTGGGGCGATACGCCCTCTGAAAGGGCGAGGGTCAAGAGCCCCGTCGGCGTTCGACTCGTCCTGATCCTTGAGCGCCAGCGGTGAAACTGCAGCGATTCACCAAACGCCCCTGGCAGCGTTGTTATGGTTCTCGGCCAGGTCCACACCCGCGGGCGGCGCCGAGACGTTCCTGTGGGCCGTGTCCTGGGTGACCAGGAGCAGGATGAGGGCGACTACGGACACCAGCGAAATGACAAAACTCAGGCGGGCCGGCTGCGTCCATGTCTTGATGACGGTCAACGGAGGTGTTCTCGTGTATCGGCAAAGTCGGCGCGGGTCGGTCTCGGCGGGTTCTCCCGTACTTGGCCCTTTCTCGCGACTGCCTATGATTTGGCGTATTTTTTGAAATTCTACTTATATGCGTTCCAGAATAACCGCGCAGCGTGAATTTGACGTGAAAAACCCATCTGTTTTTGTGAGTGTCCCGTGAGATTCCTGGGCGCCGATTCCCATGGAACAGCCGGCCTTTGCGTGGGCGATTCCCGGTGCACGGCCACACACTATCGGGGCCCCGGAACCCGTCCCGCCGCGATTGATCGACGGGCGAGGAAATACCGCCGAAGGTGTCCCGACCGCGCAGCCTGTCGGGCGTGGTGGCAGCGAACGTCGTGCGCGACAGTGCCGTTGGGGCGGCCTGCTGCCATATCCGGCCCGGGGTCTAGCTGGATCAGACCAGTTCAGTCCCTCTGCCGGTACCTGACCGCCTCGGGTGTCTACAAACGGTAGGCCCTGACCGCCGTGCCCTGGAACATCGCCGCCTTTTCCGCGTCCGAATAGGCTGAGGTCACGCGTTTGAAGGCGTTCCAGGCCGTGGTGTACGGATAGGAAGCCTTGTCCACCGGGAAATTGCTCTCGAACATGCAGCGCTCGGGTCCGAAATGCTCGATGCAGTAATCCAGCCAGGGCCGGATGGTATCGGCCAGCTCTTCCGAACCTGGCGGCACGTCGCGCTGATGCCAGTCGTAGCCGCTGATCACGTTGCCGAACCCGCCCAGCTTGACCACCACGTTTTCGTGGGTCGCGACGGCCGAGATGCCGGTCTGCCAGTCGGCGAACACCTCGTCACGGCGCCCGGCGTAGGGACCCACGCCCAGCGGGCGACCAATGTGGTTCAGGATGATGGTTGCGTCGGGGAACGCACCGGCCAGGTCGGCCAGTTCGCCAAGCTGAGTGTGGTACACCAGCGCGTCGAAGCTGAGCCCCATGCGTTGCAAGCGGTCGAACCCGGCGCGGAAAGTCGCGTCGCCGAGCATACCCGGTGTGCTGGAACGTCCGGCTGTGACTTCGGGGCTGGCGTCCCAGGCGCACGAGAACCGTATCCCGCGGAACCGGTTGGCGCTGGCGGCCACGTGGCCTTCCAGAACCGGGGCCACGGCGTCGCCCAGCATCAGGTTGGCGTTGGAAATGATGCCGGCGGCGACCTCGGTGGACCCATACTGACCGCTGGCGCTCTGGGCGGAGATGCCCTGGACAAACTCGGTTTCGCCGACCGCCCGCATTTCCTCCGGCCCCTTGGCCCGGTACATGGAGTGGCACTCGATGAATACCGTCTGCGCGACGTTGTGACCGCCGCCCAGGTCCTGCGTAAGTTGGTCCAGCAGGTAGCGGGTCGCCCTCCCGGTCCCAGAAGTGATGGTGCGGGTCGCAGATGGGCAGACCGGGATCGATGGCCTCTTCCACGTTCTGGCCGAGCCAGGCCTCGCGCTGGATGGACATGTTGGGTTCCTCTCGATACGGGGAGCGGCTCGATACGGGGAGCGGCTCTATGCGGGCAACGCCTCTACACGGGGAGCGGCTTCTCAGTGATGTTGTCGGGAAGTTCGACGCCGAAGGCATTCACGTTGAAGGCCAGCATGGAGTAGCAGCCCATGAGCGTGGTGAGTTCCGTCGCGCCGTTCCGGCCGAAGTGCTGCACCACCGCGTCGAAGGAGTCCGGGCTAACGCTGCGGGTGCGGAAGAACTGCTGCCCGTAGTCCACGACCGCGGCCTCGTCGGCTGCCGGGTTGGGCAGTTCCTGCCGGTCACGCAGCGCGTCGACGATCTCGTCGCGCAGGCCGGCCTGGCGGGCCGGCGGAGCGTGGGCGTTCCAGATGAACTGGCAATTGTTCTCGCGGGCGGCCACCAACATGGCCAACTCGCGGATGCGCGGGCGACAGCGAGGTGTCGGTGCGCAGGTACAGCGCCAGACCCAGGGCGCGCTGCGCCACCTCCGGCGCGTTGAGTATCACGGAACCCGGCCCCGTGGTTGGCACCTCGCCCCGGTCGGCGACGAAGGCATCGAACGCGGCGCGCTCGTTTTCCGGCACTGATTCGCGTGTCACTGTTGGAGTTCGGGCCATGATGTCCTCCCTGCGTTCGTTTCTCGCCTGTTCGGGCACAGTCTAACACCGTTCGTCGCCCCGTCACGGCGCAAAACTCGACCGCGCCTGCGCGCCCCAACGACCGTTAGCGCGGGTCATGATCCATAGCGAGCGGTAAGTGGCGATGGCCGTATCCGATTCGTCCCACCGGGTGAACTGGATCAGCACGTGGACCTTGTGCTCAGAGCTGTGGATCACCTCGGTGGAGTCCAGCGTGGTGTGATGCCAGTCCGGCCCCGCCCGGGCGTAGAAGTCGCGGAGATAGGTTTCCTCCAACTCGGCCCGGTCGTGCCAGATGGCCACGCCTTCGCCGGAAATGCGCACATGCGGCAGGTGCAGCAGATCGTAGAGCGCCGCGTCGTCCCGAGCGTTCAGCGCCGCCATGAACTCCGCGATGGCCGTTACCGCCGCGTTGGATGCCTCAGTGGTTGCGCTCATGCTGCTATCCTCCGGGTTGCCCGGGCAATTGATGCGAAGCCGGCGTGTGGCGGACGCCGCAGCCGATTGTCGGCCCGTAGGGAATGTTGTACCATCATTTGGCTTCAAATTCGCCTAAGCCGGACTCTGGAGGGTAGCTTTATGGCCAGCACCGCACAACGTGACCGCGACATCGCCATCGTCGGCGTCGCCGAATCGGACGAGATGGGCAACGTTCCCAACAAGTCCTCCCTCCAGCATCACGCAGAGGCCGCCTACAACGCGCTGGATGATGCCGGGTTGTCCATGTCGGACGTGAACGGGCTGATGACCGCCGGATTCAGCACCCTGGCGACCGCCGAGTACTTTGGCGTCCAGCCATCCTTCACCGACAACACCTCGGTGGGGGGCTCCTCTTTCGTGATCCACGTGGCCCATGCCGCGGCGGCCATCCGGGCCGGCTACTGCGACACGGTGCTGATCACCCACGGTCAGGCCGGTCGGTCCACCAGAGTAGCGGTTCCGGGGGACCGGAACCTCCCCGTGGCCCAGTACGAGACGCCGTACGGCATGATCGGCCAGCCCATCAACTATGCCATGGCCTGCACCCGCTACATGCACGACTACGGCGAAGAACGCACCCGCCAGGCGCTGGCCGAGATCGCCGTTTCCACCCGCAAGTGGGCCAACCTGAACCCGATGGCCTACATGCACGACTCGCCGATGTCCTTCGACGACTACCACAACTCCCGCTGGGTGGCGTGGCCTTTCCACCTGTTCGACTGCTGCCTGGTGACCGACTCCGGCGCGGCGATCGTCGTCACCACCGCCGAGAAGGCGGCCAACTGCAAGAAGGAGCCGGTGTGGGTGCTGGGCGCGGCAGAGGGCCACGACCACAACCTCATCAGCTTCATGCCCGACCACACCTCGACCTGGTCCCGTGAGACCGGCCCCTGTCGCTGGAGCGCGCCGGCCTGACCCACGGCGACATCGACCTCACGATGATCTACGACTCCTTCACCTACACCACGCTGGTGACCATTGAGGGCCTCGGCTTCTGCGGTCCGGGCGAGGGCCCCGACTTCGTCGCCAATCAGCGCACCGCGCCGGGCGGCGACTTCGCCCTCAACACCAACGGAGGCGGGCCTCTCCTACTCTCACCCCCGGGCATGTACGGCAGCTTCCTGCTGGTGGAGGCAGTACGTCAGCTGCGCGGCGAGTGCGGCGACCGCCAGGTCCATCGCAAGGGCTCCTCCGACCAGCCGGCGGCCACCAGCATGGTCAACGGCACCGGCGGGTCCCTGTCCTCAACCGGGACCGTGGTGCTGGCCACCGGCTAGGCAGGTCGGCGATTCGGCAGCTACCAACAGCAAGGTGGATCCGCTGAGGAGCATCGCCGAGCGCTATTGGGTCGTATACTATCTGGTATACGTTGCTGGAGTGGGGATCGGTCTGTCGAGGTATCACCCTCTGCGAGAACAGGGTAAGGATGAACTATTTGCGCTGGTAGGTATCTTCGCGCTGGCGGCAGGCTTGGCGCTATTGGTGGCGATCGTTCTGGAGGTGCTTGGACGCATGGTGTTGCTAATACCGGCTGAAATCAAAAGGTTGAAAGAACAGGGTCGAAAGGAAGGTCGGAGAGAGGAGCGCCGGCGGATCGTTGAGGCCTTGCGGCAACTCGGCGAACGCGAAGACGGCTCCATCCACATCACGTTGACTCCTGAAGTCATGAAATTGCTAATGGACGACACCGAGCGCGGTTCGTAGCGTCCCGCGGGCACCGGCTCGCCGCCAGTGCCCGCCAGTCGTCTCCCGACTTCAGGGCATCCATTTCACCAGGATTAATCAACCAACATCCCGTCGAGTCAACATCGTAAAGTATGGACATCGTAATCATCGGCCTCCCCCAATCCGGCAAATCTGCCCTTTTCAACGCACTCACCCTGGGCAGGTCCGACTCCAGCGGCGCGTCGGGCAGCGCCACCGAAATGCACTTGGGTATGGTCAAGGTGCCGGACCCGCGTCTGGACTACCTGGGTACCATCTACAATCCCCGCAAGATTGTTCCAGCGGAGATACGCTATACCGACCTCCCCGGCCCCGAGGGCATGGCGCGGTCGCAGGGGATCAGCGGGCGTTATCGCAACATCCTCCAGTCCGCCACCGCGTTTCTCGTGGTGGTGCGGGCATTTCAAAGTGACGCGGTGCCTCATCCCACGGGAGCGGTGGATCCGGCGCGTGATCTTGAAAACATGCTGGGCGAGTTGTCGTTTGCCGACCTGGAGGTGCTGGAACGGGCGTCGACGCGGCTGGCCGACCAGGTCAACAAGACCAAGCCGGCCGAAAGGCCGATGGTGGTGCGCCACAAGGAGACCGTGGACAAGGCCCGAGCCGGCCTGGAGAGCGGGGTTCCGGTACGCCGGCAGACCTTCACCGACTCGGAACGCGCCGTGCTGGTCAACTACCAACTGCTCACGGACAAAAACGTAATTGCCGTGTTCAACACTGATGAAGGCGCCGATGTAATATCGATCTCCGACCTGGACATCGATCCGGGGCTCACCGCCGGCGTCGGGCAGGTGAGCATCAGCGCGCGCATCGAGGCTGAGTTGAGCACGATGGACCCGGAAGAGGCCAACGAATTCCGCGCCGATCTGGACCTGGGCGAGTCGGCAACCTCCCAAGTGATCCGCGCCAGCTACGAGAATTTGGGGCTCGTGTCCTTCCTGACCGTTGGTGATGACGAGGTGCGGGCCTGGAGCGTTCCCGGCGGTATGCCGGCCGTGAACGCCGCCGGTGTCATCCATACCGATTTCACCCGCGGGTTCATCCGGGCGGAGGTCATCGCCTACGACGATTATTGCTCCTGCGGCGGGATGGTACAGGGCCGCAAGGAGGGACTGCTGCGCTCCGAGGGGAAGACCTACCCGGTCAAAGACGGGGACATCATCAACTTCCTGGTCAACACGTAGGCGCCATGATTTCCGTCCGCCAGTTCCGTGCCGAAGACGCCGAGGCGGTCCGAAACTTGTTCGTTCACGCTCAGGACGATTTTGCCGGGAGCTACCTCCACAACGACGCCGACCGCGAGGGGTTCCGCGAATACCTCGACGGCGCCCTCACCCACGATCTGGCGCACATCGAGCAGAGCTATCTGCTGCGTCGTGGCAGCAATTTCTGGATGGCCGAACTTGAAGGGCAAGTGGTGGGTTGCATCGGAGCCTACCGTCGGGACGAAGAAGAAGTGGAGATCCGGCGTCTAGCGGTGGACCGTTCCGCTCGGCGTAAGGGTGTGGCCTCCCGCCTGTTGGATGAGGCAGAGGAGTTCTGCCGCGACGCGGGGTACGCGCGAACCATCGTCTGGACATCCAACCACATGTCCGCCGCCATCGGCTTTCTGAAGCATCGCGGCTACCACGAACTGGAGGATCACGCGTTTCCGCATACCAGCCTGACGCTCTATCTGTATGGGCTGGAGTTGTGAGGCTTTAGACGGGTTCCAGCGGCCGAGCAAAGCTTATCTCGTGGCCGTCGGGGTCGGTGATGTGGTAATAACGCTCGCGCCAAGGGGCGTCATCCGGCTTGCCGTCGGGCGCGTAGCCGGCCTCAACCATTCGCCGGTGGTGGGCATCCACATCGTCGACGTACAGGATGCAGCGGCCCCACCAGCGAACATCGGCGTCGGCGGAGAGGATCAGGTTCAGGTAGCCGCCGCCGATTCGAAACGAAGTGAAGCTCGTATCCGGCCCGCCGTACAGGATGGGTATGCCCGCTCCGTCGTGGTAGAAGGCCACCGCCCGCGCCATGTCATGGACCGCCAGCGTGATCGCGCTGATACTCTGTACCGTCATCGTGCGTCCCCTCGGCAGTGCGCAGACCCCGTTGTAGTAGAATGATCCCAAACTCGATAGGACTTGCCGGCAGGAATTATGTCAAATTTTGACCATCCCCGCATGGATGGCCCCCCCGAATGTCTGCCCCGATTGGAAGCGATCCTGCGGGAGATGCAATCGGTGGTCGTCGCCTACTCGGGCGGCGTCGACAGCGCGTTGCTCTCCGTGGCAGCCCATCGTGCGCTGGGCCAGCGCGCCCTCGCCGTGACCGCGATATCGCCGGCCCTGGCCGCTCGAGATCTGGGCGACGCGGAAAGCGTTGCTCATCAGTTCGGGCTCAACCACCGCGTCATACACACCGACGAATTGCAGCGAGAAGGCTACGTGGCCAACTCCCCCCAGCGGTGCTATTTCTGCAAGACGGAACTCTACGACCAATTGGCGGCTTTGGCGTCCGCGGAGAGCTACGCATGGGTCGCCAACGGGGCAAACACCGACGACCTGGGCGACTACCGTCCCGGAATGACCGCCGCCGCCGAGCACAACATCCGCAGTCCCATGGTGGAAGCGGGGATGGATAAAGCGCAGGTGCGCGCCGCCGCGCTCTGGCTGGGCGTCCCGTTGTGGGACAAGCCGGCGCAGCCGTGTCTCTCGTCTCGCATCCCGTATGGCACGCCGGTCACCGTGGAGTCGCTGCGGCGCATCGAGGCGGCCGAGGACATCCTGCGGGACCTGGGCCTACGCGAGGTGCGGGGCCCGCCATCACGACAAGCTGTGCCGCATCGAGGTGGGCGCCGACGAGATGGAACTGGCATTTGCCCACCGCGACGAGATCACGCGGCGGCTGAAAGAGCTGGGGTATCTCTGGGTGTCCCTGGACCTGAACGGCCTGCGCTCCGGCAGCCTCAACGACGTGCTGCGGATAGTCGAGACGGCCCGACGGCCGTGAAAACCGCCTACATCCAGTCCGTCGGCGGCGCCAGCGGCGATATGCTCCTCGGCGCGCTGCTGGACGCTGGCCTGCCCCTGGACACCGTGAAAGAGGCCGTTAATGCCCTCGGCATCCCTGGCGTCGAAATCGCGATGGCCACCGAGATGCGCTGCGAGGTACGGGGCACGCGCGCCCTGGTGGACGTGTCGGCAGCGCCGCGCTACAGCCCGCGGCAGATGCTGGACGCCGTGGCAGGGGCAGCCGCATTGTCCGCCCACACCCGCGAACGCGCCACCGCCGCGCTCAACGCCCTCTTTGCCGCCGAGGCCCGGGTACACGGGGACGATCCCGACCAGATCCACCTGCATGAGCTGGGCACGGCCGACACACTGGTTGACGTGGTGGGCGTCGTGCATGGGTTGGAACAGTTGGGCGTAGAGCGCGTCTATGCCGCGCCGTTGGTGTTGGGCGAACCGGGCGGCCCGAGGAGACCTGGCGGCTACAGCAACCCAGCGCCGGCGACGCTGGAGATCATTGCCGCGTCCGGAGCGCCGGTCGCGCCGGAGCGGGCTTTTCATGCCGGCGTGGGGGAGTTGACCACGCCAACGGGCGCGGCCCTGATAACCACGCTGGCCGAAGAGTTTCGCCAGCCGGCCCTGGCACTGAATCGCATCGGCGTGGGCGTCGGCGGCAAGGACCCGGCTGCCTTTCCCAATGTGTTGCGTCTGTGGCTGGGGCGAAACCGTCGGCGCTGACCTGCGGACCGACCCGTCCGGCGAGCCGACACCACCCGTAGCCCGCTGGCAGGACAACGTCGTGCTGCTGGAAACCAACCTCGACAATGCCACCGGCGAGCAGCTGGGCTTCGCAATGGAGCGGCTGTTCGAGGCCGGCGCGCTGGACGTGTGGCACACGTCGATACAGATGAAAAAGAACCGGCCGGGCGTGCTGCTGTCGGCGCTGGGTCCGGCGGCGCTGGAAAGCCGGCTGGCGGAGGTGTTCCTGCGGGACACGCCGACGCTGGGGGTGCGCGTCCGCCCGGTGGGTCGCTACGTCGCCGACCGGGACATCGTGACAGTGGAGACGGAGTACGGGCCGATGCGTCTGAAGCGCAAGTGGCTGAGAGGCGAGGTGGTCAGCGCGGCGGCGGAGTACGAGGACATTGCGGCGGCGGCGCGGGAGAGGGGAGTGGGGTGGAGTGCGGTGAGCAACGCGGTAAATCGGACGGGCCTGCTGGGAAGCGACTAGAGCTCACCCGCTGTGCGCAGTTGTGCTACCGCCATACTGGTGGAGCCCGCGAATTCGTGCGGCTGCCAGTCCAGAATTCCACAAAAGCTTGCCGATCATCGGCTGGCAGCAACCGGAGATCATCCAGAAACTGGCGAGACCAGTTGATGCGATAGAACCGCACGTCGATCTCGTTCAGACCCAAATCGTATGATGCGTTCCAAGCCTTCTCCCTGGCGTCGCCACGTCAGACCGGGATGCGCGATTATTTCGCCGGTATCAGCGTCATAGTCAAATACGCCCCGGGCGTTCCTGCTCATCGCTGGCACATGGGTCGACGTATCCCAACGCGGGCCATTTATCCTGCTGTATTCGCCGTTGCAACGCCGGCAACTGAAAACCCAGTTGGTCCACTCATACGTCAGTTCCGGGCAGCGCGACCGCGGCTTGAAATGGTCGACGGTAGCGGCCTTGCCGCCCGATTCCGACGCCGGTTCGCACTGGCGTTCGCAGTACCAGCAAATGTCGGCCGAGCGGTTGCCCAACGCTGAGCGAAACTCCGCCAGTAGGAATCATGCGGGACGCCCGCCAATGATGGCCGTACTCCACCCACCCGGCGTAAACTGCGGCATAGCCGCCCACACCGGGAGGCTCCGGCCCCCGGTCGATCCACCGCATCGGGGCCTAACTGCCGTCCTGCGATAGCTCTGACTGTCGGGAACGCAAGAACTCCAGCATCATGTCCCCGTAGCGTTCCCGTTGCGCCATCTCATGGCGTGCGCTGGCACAGAAAATCTCGTTGACGTGGCCGACGACAGTTCACTCTCGGCTTCTTCCTGCAGCCGTTAGAGAAATCCCCGCGACCCGCCGCAGTCCACCAACGCCGCTCCGGCGTCAATTGGCAGTTGTGTTTCGTCCGTGGCTCGTCGGCCGTCCATCAAAAGGTGCGCAGGATCTCGTCAGGGGTCCAGGCCGTGAGTTTGTCGTGCTCATGGGACTGGCGGTGATGATGCCGATTGCATAGCGCTAAGCATATGCACTGCCATGCTCAGGCCGGCAATCACGAAAAAGCGCGAGTGGGTCGGTGGAAAATCTGAGAGACCGAGGAAAATGCTCGAGCAGGGCGGAATGACGACGCCGCCCAGGTGGGTGGAGATGGTTTTCGATTTGTCTATAAAAAAGATTGCGGGTTTAGTGTCCCAAAACTCCTACGAAGTTCGTAAAACTCAGCAAACTTACAAGCCAAATACATGATCCATAAAAGAACAAGTTCCTGGGTTCAGAGCTCAAGTCGCCTAAGAAAAGGGAAAGAGCGATCGAACCAAATTTGCGGAGGATCATTGTATAAGCACCATGCAGGGTGAACTTAGGCCAACCCATTCGCAAAATTGTGAAGTATGTTCGGTCATGGTAATGGGACATAAGTGCACATTTGGAAGATATAGAAAAACCCCTTCACGCAGTCAAAAGACGCAATTCATAACTTAAAGACGCCGGGGGTATCGTGAAGTCTCACCTTCAGATCCACTCCAAAATTCGTCTCTGTGCAATCCTCATCAATCATATACATTGCTTGGTACACTATGCGGGGGTCAAAAACCTGCGGGCTTTCGCGTTCCGTCAAAACTCGGAACCACGGCTCGATTTTTCGCCATTGGAGCAGATCTCGTTCATTATCCGCTATGGTTCTCAGGTTGGGCAATAACATTCTGGTAGCAGGAATGTACACCATCGGAGGGATCCCAGAGTGATGTTCTCAGGCCGAGGTACATTGTAGTCAGGAAAACACGAAACCCATCGTCACTCACCTCCACTTCAAATGTCTGCCTCCCTTCGCTGTCGTCATATGCATCGACCGACCAGCCCGATAAGCACGCTATCGCCGTAGATTTGCCAGAGGCATTAGGCCCGACAAACACGTTCACACGCTCGTCGAACGTGAACTCTACGGGTTCGGTGAACGGCGGAATGCCGGCGATTGTCATGCTTGTGATGTGCATTTGCGCTACCTTTGGCCTGCCATTGAGCGCAGGGGCAGCTCGTTAGCCT